CTTCTAATTCCTCTCCGTGCTCCGGATGGAACAATGTTTGTGAAGGGAAGAGAGATTACAGGTTCAGCTTAAAATTCTGATTTGACCTCTTGCTTTTGTTTTTGAGGACACACAGCATTCAAATATGCTTTCTTCCATTTAAAAGGATGAAATCCTTAAACAGTGTTTTGCCTGTAAATTCATGCGATCTGGAAGATTACAGTGTCTGTACCTCTTAAGGGATGGCAAAGCTTAGGTTTCGCTGCTAAATAGTTCTTAATGCAGTTAAAATGCTTTCTTCTGTCAAGGCAATTAAAAAATATATATATCAGGCAGCCGGAAAACATGCAGGTGGGAGAGAGAGAGTGCGACCTGGCTGGCTTGGGTGGGTGGGTGGGGGGAAACTTTTGCCTTCCTTTCCTCCCTCCCGTTATACCCCTCTCCTGCATTCTTAGCCAGCTGCTTCTCTGCACACCCCTCTCGTGCTCCTTGTCCCTTCTGTGTTTTTCCTTCCCTCCCCACTTAAAATGTGGTTACAAAGCATGGATCCACATGGATCCTCAGGATCTTTGCATTGGGTCACCCCAAATTCACCATCAGAGCACATAGCATGTCCATGGCTACAGCCTGCCCCCCAAAAATCACGCACCCACTGTTGCCTGGGGCTGCAATGGTGCAAAAACGTGGTTAAAAAGCATGGGTCCACAGGGATTCTCAGGATCTTTGCATTGGGTCAGCCCAAATTCACCATCAGATCACATGTCTGTGGCCACAGCATGAAGCACAAAAATGATACATCCACTGTTTCATTCAGAATGTTTTTTCCCTTGTTTTCCTCCTCTAAAAACAATGTGCGTGTTATGGTCAGGTGCGTGTTATAGAGCGAAAAATACGGTATGTCTTGTTTTTTAAAGTTTATATAAAATTATATGCATTGGCATTCACATGTACAGTGGTACCTCGGGTTAAGTACTTAATTTGTTCCAGAGGTCTGTACTTAACCTGAAACTGTTCTTAACCTGAAGCACCACTTTAGCTAATGGGCCTCCTGCTGCTGCCGCACCACCAGAGCACAATTTCTATTCTCATCCTGAAGCAAAGTTCTTAACCTGAAGCAGTATTTCTGGGTTAGCGGAGGCTGTAACCTGAAGCACTGTATGTAACCTGAGGTAGCACTGTATGTATTTATATGGGTTAAAACTAAATTATTCCACATAATGCATTCACTGACACCTTAAATTAATTAAAGGGGCGATTCTTAGCTATTTCCCTTTTATGTAGCATAAGAAATGCGAATGAAGTATTTCAAACACCAATAAAGTGCTAGTTATGTGAGGTAATTGTAAAGATTACAGGTGCCCACTTTGCATACATACAATTAACATTTACTTCAAAGGAAATCCCGGCACTTTTATCTCCCAGCAAATTGGCAGTGAGTAGATAAGAAGGCGACTCCTGTGTTATTAACAAATTAATAAGCATTGCAAACTAGGCATATCAAGAAATGGCATGTTTTGCTAAATGCATACATTAACTTCTGCTGGTGACCTGCATGTTTAATAACTCAATTGTGAATAATTATTAGCTGCACTAGATGCTTGGCTGTATCATAGTATTAGCAGTTTAGAATTTACAACCAGCAACTGGCAAACATTTTTGGAGAGGCCCTCAACAAGATTACGATATGCGCACATACTCCCCTCTCCCTAATGTTTTGTTATGGTTAGTGACCACACAGAGGAATTAGAAGCAGCTCCTTCTAAGTAGCTCAGACTAAGAAACCAGACACGAATCAACAGCTTGATATTACCAGGTAAAACCCTACTGGACAATTGTTCTACAAGTTCCTTGCTGAGTGTGTAGCTGTAATACCGTCTCTGACCACCAGAAGTGGTAGTGCTATTGTGCAGCTAAAACAAACCAAAGACTCGTTTCTCCAGTAAGGTGACACAGAATATAAGGCAGTGTCATGGGCTGGCTGGCTGCAGAGGAGTGGTGGGAGACAGCACCTGGAGAACCCCCAAGGGGAAAAGACTCAGATCCAGTCCTTGCAACTTCCTCATTGGGGCAAGACCTACTGGAAAGAGTTGCTGTGATCACTAGACCTGCACTGTTTTGGTTTCCTTGAATGCAGAGTTAACTTCACTAACACCAGTGGGTTTTTTTGTTGCTGACCTTCTCCTGACTCTGGCTCCTGACAGGCAGCTGGGTCCTCTTTCTTTTATCTCCACTGTTAAGACCTCTGTTGCATTCCATCTTTTCTGCTCTTTCAACTTTATCATGGACTCACATAAAATTTGGATTGGACCTCAAAGCTCTCTTACTCCATGCCCCTGCTGATGTAGAAAGCAAAGCAGAACTCCCATCGCATCTTGCTGTGATTCCTGGTAACCCAGTTAGGACATGTTTGAATCCCTTGCCTTCTCTTACAACACTGTTTCTGCCTGTTGCGTCCATATAAATTTGTATAAATGAGGGTCAAATTGCTACAAATTCCTTCCACTTACCTTTTCCGCACCTCCCATTCCATACATATGCACATGTCATATAATATGTTATAGAAATAGCTACAGTCTCAACATCCCAGTCTTCCTGTATCTCCATCACTGCCCACGTCAGCTGGAACATCCCACTTTGTACTAAAGCAAGCACTAAAAATTAGATTTGTGCTGGTTTAGAGGTAAAACAGCTTCGGCTGCCGCTGCAAGCCGTTCAGTTTTTGTTTTGCAGAGCACAGTAGGCTTCTATTGATGCAGGTTTTATGTTCATTTAATGAACACCATATGCCACAAAACCTCAGATTGAATTTGAAGAAGATTTTTATGCTAAGGGCTTGCAAACTTTTTATATTTATAAACCTCTAAAAAAAAAACACTCCATGTTTGCAGAAAACTTCTGCTCATTAAAGATTATCATAGAGAGTTATCACTGCAGGTTTTAAGTTACTGTCATTTATCATCTATAAAGCAATGTCGATTGGTAAGGGCTTCTTAAATCCTTATTTTGCTTTACGCACATATAAAACACCCTCTGGGGTAAGTCAATACTCCCATTTTATAGATAAATGCGAGAGGGAATGACTTTGCCACAGGTCCCAGTGCAGCCATGACAGAGAAAAGACTGGAACCCATGTGGCAAGGCATAAGGACCTGTGAATCTGGTGGGCTACTGAATCGACCTCCTCAGTAGAATCAGATGGCCTCAGACCTCATTATCAACAGCCAGCTGTAAACATCATCCTGGCTCTGGGATTGTAGCACTGGAGAACCTACATATGCCACCCCCCAAGAGACAAACAAAGATAAATGATTGCGCCCGGTCTTAAAGAAAACATCATTAGATCCTTTAGATCTATCCAATTACCGCCCGGTTTCGAATCTTCCATTCCTGGGTAAGGTGATTGAGAGAGCGGTTGCTGAACAGCTTGGTGGTTTTCTGGATGAAACATCGGCTCTGGATCCATTCCAGTCCGGCTTCCGCGCTGGTCATGGGACCATGACGGCTCTGGTTGCCCTAACAGATGATCTTCGTAGACAGCTGGATCGAGGCGGGTCGGGGCTGATGATTCTTCTAGATCTGTCAGCAGCTTTCGACATGGTCGATCACGAACTTCTGGACCACCGCCTTGCCGACGTGGGGATCCAGGGCACAGTCCTTCAATGACTGCACTCGTTTCTCTCTGGTCGGGGACAGAGGGTGGCGCTTGGGGGGGAAGTGTCATCGCGCCACTCCTTGGTGTGTGGAGTACCTCAGGGTGCGATACTCTCCCCGATGCTTTTCAACAGCTTTATGCGCCCCCTCGCCCAGCTTGTTCGGAGTTTTGGGCTGGGTTGCCATCAGTATGCCGATGACACCCAACTCTATCTGTTGATGGATGGCCATCCTGACTCGGCCCCAGACACACTGACCAGATGTTTGGAAGCTGTGGCTGGATGGTTACGTGGGAGCCGGTTGAAGCTAAATCCTTCGAAGACAGAGGTCCTGTGGCTGGGATGGGGCGATATGGGATTGGGGGGGCAACTCCCATCTCTTGTGGGGGCGCAATTAGTGCCAGCACCGTCCGTTAAGAGTTTGGGTGTAATCTTCGACACCTCCCTTTCCATGGAGGCGCAGATTGCAGCTATAACAAAGGCGGCATTTTTCCATCTCCGCCAAGCTAAGCAGTTGGCTCCTTACCTCTCTCGCCCTGACCTAGCCACTGTGATCCACGCGACGGTCACCTCCAGACTGGATTATTGTAACTCGCTCTACGTGGGGCTGCCCTTGAGACTGACCCAGAAACTCCAGCGGGTGCAGAATGCTGCAGCGAGACTCCTTACGAGGTCTTCGCTGCGAGATCACATTCACCCAGTGCTATACCAGCTGCACTGGCTCCCAGTGGAGTACAGGATCAGGTTTAAGGTGCTGGTTTTAACCTTTAAAGCCCTATACGGCCTAGGACCCTCGTACCTGGTATGCCCCACAGAGAAACTTACGGTCTTCAAATAAAAACATCTTGAAGGTCCCAGGCCACAGAGAAGTTAGGCTGGCCTCAACTAGAGCCAGGGCTTTTTCGGCTGTGGCTCCGATCTGGTGGAACACTCTGTCACAAGAGACCAGGGCCCGGCGGGACATGACATCTTTCCGCAGGGCCTGCAAGACAGAGCTGTTCCACCAGGCCTCTGGCCAGGGCACAGCCTGACTCCCTCCCTCGGCAATCTTCGCGGAGCTCTGGCCCAATGGTTGCCAGTGGCTTGAATTAATTAATTTTATAATGAATGATTTTAGAATGTTGTTTATGCTGTACTTTTGTACTGTTTTATTGTTGTTAGCCGCCCTGAGCCCGGCTTCGGCTGGGGAGGGCGGGATATAAATAAAATTTATTATTATTATTATTATTATTATTATTGTTATTATTATTATTATTAATATGCCTTATGCATACTACTGGTCTGATCCAGACTGTCATACAAAAAGTTCATCCACGCTGTTGTTTAATGTGGATAGTAAGTTCCCTGTACCTCCATTAATTCTCCCTTGTCCATTTGACATTCTCCTCCAAATCACAACCTTCCCACCCTTTCCCCCCTTCTCAATCTGGATTATTTCCTATCAGAGATACTTCCAAAAAGGGGAGAGTATGAGAAAATCCAGACCAAGGGAGGGGAAAGGGTGGGAAGGCAGCGACTTGGAGGAGAACACTGTTATGTACTGAAGTTCTGTTGTCCATCGATCCCATCCTCGTCGCCAGTGTTAAGTTGTGTGTGAACATATCAGACGACACAGCGATTCTTCAAACAGCTCTTGTTTATTCACAGGCCAGAACAGAACTTCCGTACATAACAAACACCATGTGAACAATGGAGAATTAATGGAGGTACAGAAAGCTTATCACCCACGTTAAACAACAGTATATCTGAGCTCTTGGAGTACACCCAGTGACTGTCTTGATTGCAATGTGTCTACTCCAAATATGACTAAGTCTGGATCCAACACTGTATTTAATAGCACTGGGCAATGTATTAATGTGTACCGGCAAATTAAATCTCAGAAAATATTCCAAATATACAGGGCAGGTGCTACTCTATGATCAAGAGCAATAATAATAATAATGGGTTACCATGAATAGCATTAGATGAAGTCATCTTGAGGTTAATTGAATAAGTTATTTTCATATAGAGGACTGCAGGTGGTTCTGCAAAACAGAAAGAGGAAGTTCATATGTGTGTGTGTGTGTGTGTGTGTGTGTGTGTATCAATCAGTTTTTTACGTTTCAAAATAAACATTTTACAAACTTTAAAATATCCAATGACTTCCCTTTTTCTCCTTCCATGGTTCATATTACATATAATACATTCCTGCATATTTTACTCTAACCATTCAAATCAATTTTCCACTTTTACATCAATCAAATATTGTTTACTCTGTTGAGTTTATCTTAACACTGCCAGCGTTTTCAGCTGCGTACAATTATTTCCCATGTATTCAATAAATATTTTCCACTCTTCTTTAAATATACATTCTTATTGCTTTCTTATTCTGTGTGTTAAGCCTGCAAGTGCTGCATACTCTAACATCTTAAGTTGCCAATCCTCTTTACATGGGACCTTGTTCACTTTCCATTTTTGGGCTAACAGAACACGGGCCGCTGTTGTGGCATACATACATAAACTTTTCTGACCCCTGGGGATTTCTGACTGCGTTAGTCCCAACAAAAAAGACTCTGGTTGTTGCTTTTTTTGGAAGGTAAATTTAAACATTTTTTCAACTTATTATAAATCATTTCCCAATATTCTTTTACCTTTCTACATATCCACCACATATGAAAGAAGTTCCTCCCATTTCATTACATTTCCAACACGTATCTGATTCTGCTTTATACATCTTAACTAACCTACTCAGAGTTAAATACCATCTATGAATCATTTTCAAATAGTTCTCTTTCAGAGAATAACACGTGGTAAATTTCAAGTCACTTTTCCAGAGTTTCTTCCAGAGGTTTAGGTATATATTGTGTCCTGTATCTATTGCCCAGTGTGCCATTGATGCTTTAACTGTTATTTTGTAACAGTTATTTTTCAAATTGTGAGCTTTGGTCCAAAACCCCATTTTTATTTTTATTTTGTCTACCATAAGCATATGACATATCTGGTGGTATTGTAACCAGTTCATAACTTGGCTCCTTAAGTTCTTCATAGGTTCCAGTCTGGGTTCGCACCCTGCAAAGTCCAGCAATTCCCTGTAAGTCACCCACTGTCTGTCCATATTAACTCTCTTAATTGTAATTGCTTCAATGGGGGATAACCATAAAGGTGTTTTTTCTTTCTAGCAGATTTTTATATTTCTCCCAAACTCTATACAAATTCTTCCTGAGAATGTGGTTCATAAAACTCTGATAAATTTTTGCTTTCCCATACCAAAGACATGAATGCCAGCCGAATTTTAAGTCATGGCCTTCCAAATCTAAAATGTCTGCACTGTCCAATATAATCCATTCCTTTAACCAACATAAACAAGCTGCCTGCAATTGCAGGTCTGGCAGGGCAAAGCCTCTTCCTTTTGTATCTATCAACATTTTAAATTTAATTATTGGCTTTTCCCCTGCCAGATAAATTTAGAAATATATTCTTTCAATTCTTTGAAGTAGTTTGCATTACTTACATTCGGAACAGAAAGAGGAAGTTCTTAAAATTGGATCTTGTTGTGCATCTCAAGCTACAGACCTTCTTGGAGGTGATACAGAGCAGCAGCCGCTGCCAAATGATTAGACTGTGAAGGTTAAAAAGGACCATAAAAGATAATTGCTGAAGCCCAGCCAAGCAGTGATTAAGACAAAAGTATGGAGTTCAGCCAAGCTAGAGAGCAGATAAGGGTGACTCCTGGTCAGGATTTTGCCATTGTTGTGGTACAGAGATAATGGAGTCAGATGGTCCCAGAACTGCCACTTTGAAAGTTAAGAGATTCTGCTTAGAGGGAGGTACGGTAGATACCCTTGAGAGGTATTGCAAAAGACAACTTCAGCACAGGCCTGCACAACTTGTCACCCAGCAAGCAAAATGCAGCCCACCAACTCAGTGTGCATATGTCTATACTAAATCTGTTTTTGAAACCTTCCTAGGATGGCAAAAACACATCAGCTCTCATGTACTTGCAGGGTGAAATTAATGGCTAATGGACTCTGTTTGGCTTGGTAGGTCTTGAGTTGTGAAACCCTCACAGGGAGTCAGTAGCTCAGGACTGATTAATGTCACTGTTTTTCTTTCCATTGAGAGCTTTATAATGTAATCAACATTATGAGTGGCTCAGAGTGTCCTCTGAACATAAAATAACCTACAGCAGTCCACCTTGCTTTTTGAAATGCCCTGCTCATGCTGGCCTGTGACTCAACTATGCATTTATCCATGGACAATGCTCTATTTGCATCCCCCAGCTATCATCTGCTGACTTGAAAAGTTCACCACAATGTAGGGAAATTTTCATTTCCCACCACCACTAGGTGGAAATGTTGAGACATGTTTTGACAGATAACCTGGGAAAACCTTCAAGTGGTCATTTCCCTTAATCTGAACTGCTCTCCATTTATGCACATAATCTAATTTGGCTCCGAAAAGATGCTGCTGTTTGACGACTTCCAATGAACAAATACAGCAACTAGCTACCTGGGACTACCAGTTATGCAGAACATCAGTTCACCTGTCCTTGAACAATGCTGCCTCCCCATCTGTTCCCACATGCAAATTAAAGTGCTGGTGCCACGGATGGCCCCGTACACTTTCTACCCAAGGTTAACAACAAAATGGCATCTCTCTCTCAATTCCATGTACCAAAGCCAACCTGACTGACAACTGAATCTTCCTTCAACATAGGTGATGAGGTAACGCCTTCCACTGCACCTGAGCACAGCAGGCTTATTTAGGGACTCAGGCCAGGTCATGTAATGTAGATAGTTCTGCCCTCCCAACTGACACACATACGCCTTGGGATCACACTGGCCTGGGTTGCTGCTCAACCCTAAAATCCTAAAAGCCTTAGAAGCTTTCCTGAACGATGCATTCATCACCAGAGTCTCTCTTCTAGATCCATCCATCCTGTCTGATACAAGCTATGTGATGATCAGAGGAAGGGCCTTTTTTGGTCAAGGCCCCCAGTTTATAGAAAGTCCTCTCCATGCACTCCTGGGGGAGTGAGTATTGTCTCACATATTAGATTTGTGACTGCGTTTTGCTAAGTATACTTTGCTAAGTATTTTCTCCATTGATCATTTTTTGAAATAATGCATATGAGGGTAGCCACTTTTTAGTTTCCTGCTTATGCTGTAGGCTGCAGAGTAAGCCCGGCTGAACTGTGTAGACCTTATTTCTGAATAGACATGCATAGCATTATACTGTTTGCTATTCTTTCCACAGGGGGCCAGCACACCACCTAGCCTTGCCTTATCAATGGTGGAGGGGAAATGGCAAGAAATTAATGCACAGCCTTACCCACCACCTCCTCTCCCCTGGCAACATAGGCCACATTCACACCAGACATTTAAACTACAGTGACACCATTTAAACACTCATGGCTTCTCCCAAAGAATGCTGGGAGCCATAGTTTGTTAAGGGTGCTGAGAGATGTTAAGAGACCCTTATTCCCCTCCCAGAGCTACAATTCCCTATAAAGCAGGATGCTACTCTGAGAATTGTTGCTCTGGAAAGGGAATAAGGTCTCCTAACAACTTTCAGCACCCCTAACATAGGAGCCAACTCCTAGAGGCCGAGGTTCCTTTCGGCTCCCCCCAAAAAATGTTTTGAGGGGGCCAGGGCCCCCAAAGTTGGTGGGTATAGTCATTCAAATGGTGTGTGCGTGCCATGTCATGTGACTGATTATGGGGGTGGGGCTTACCTGTGCGCCCCCCCCCGGCCAATGTTTTATTCAAGTTGGCTCCCCTGACCCCTAATGAACTGCACAGTTCCCTGAACTCTTTGGGGGAATCTGTGAGTGTTTCAAATGGTATTAAAGTGCTTTAAATGCAGAGCTTTTTTCTGAGGGTATGCAGGGGCACGCATACCCCTAAACATTTCGTGAATCTTTGTACTTTTGTCCATTTGCGGTATTTATTTTTCCCAATTTGAACTATAAAATGATGATTTTCTTGAGTCAAAATAAGAGTACCCCTAAACATTTTTGAAAGAAAAAAGCACTGTTTAAATGTATGGTGACTTCTACATTCTTTGAGCAAGTAAATGTTCCTTGTTCTTTTCCCACCTCTGAAGAATGACCCAACCTACCAAGATCCCTCACAGGAACTACTGTGGAATGAGTGGTTGGATCCAGCATTATGTAGTATAATTGCATAAAGCATATTCTTTTTAAAAAAACCTGCACCTTGTTTAATCCATTCACATTACCGTTAGGTGGCACAAAATCAAATGGACAAAAAGTGTTATTGCTTGGCATCCAACCCAAATCAAGTTAAATATTTTGATAAATTTGTACAGAGTCGTATTTCATGTGTGTTTGACACATTTGTTGTTTAATATTATTACGTACTGTCAACTCCCTGGAACATTTCATTCTAACTGATGGCTTCTTTAAGACAGATCTTAGATATGCTGAGGGCCTTGGATATTACAAATGCCTAGGTGATTTGTATTGCTTTTATGAAAGAAATATAATTATTGCTATCCAGGAGAAATAACTAGTGGACAACAAATGGAACTTTGATTTCACCCGAACAGAACAGTCAGTGCCGTGTTATATTTCAGTTTGCTTTAGCAAATAATTTTTGCAGGTAACACTGCCCCCACCAACCCCAGAGCAGCTAAATTTATTTATGACTATCACCCATTTATGGCTTCAGATCTAACTTTCCATTAGAGCAGGAACTGATCTTGCACAACAACAGACCCATCTTTACCTAAGCTTACTGACAGACTATATTCCTTGGGAGATGCCTACAGTCAATCATAGTAATTACCCCTCAGCCTTTTTCATTATGTAGGATCCATGAATGTCTGTCTGTCTATCTATCTATCTATCTATCTATCTATCTATCTATCTATCATCTATCTATCATCTTCTTCTTCCAACAATCTCAAGGTGATTCTGCCCATCCCCATTTCATTCGCACTACAACCCTGTGTGGCAGGTTAGGTTCTGAGATTCCAGCCTTCTCTGAGACAGGGAATGAACCTGTTGAAGACCTACGCACAATTCTAAGGGAGCGAAGGCACTGAATTCAGTAAGACTTCCTTCCAAATAAACATGGATAGTGTTAAGCTGAAAGCCTTGCAGTGCCAATGCACCATAAGGGTTTATCTGTGTCAATGTTTCTTTGCACAAATCAACATATGTCCATTACATTTCCCCCCCGTATATCTTGCATTGAGGTTGCCCTGTTGCTGTGCTAGATACTGCACTACATTGTTAGACCACCACTGATGTATTGAATTTGGTGGGGCGAGAACGATGCAGGATGTTGTGAGAGAGGAATATGAAAATACAAAGCCAGCTGTTAAATAAAAGACAGACGGGAGGAGAGAGAGAGAGAAATGGAATGAGGGGAGGAAAAGGATATGAAATAGAATGATCGAATCTGATTTGCTCATTTTCTTTTGGCCACATGAGGCTATATTCACTCCAAGAGAACAAGTATCTGATTATCTCCAGTATATTCCTTTAGTGCCACCTTCAGGGTTTTTTGGTCTTCTCCTGCTACAGTTCTTCTGATTCTCTGAATAATGGCTTGTGCCAGGAGCAGGAAACCTTTTTCAGCCAGAGGGATGCATTCCCTTCCAGGCAACCTGTGTTTTTTTTGGGGGGGGGGCAGGCTGGAGAATGACATGCACCGGTGGTGGGTGGGGTCAGAAGCAACAGTGGGTGGAGTAAATGATTCCGCATGAAAATAGGGACATTCTATTCCCTCTAGAATAGAATGCCCCTATTTTAACAAGTAATGTTGGCGGGTATTTTAATTAGTATTCTAATTTTACCTTTGTGCAATAGGTTTCTTTCTACACACACACATCCAGGCAAGCAAAGGGCATTACCAGAGTTCAGGGACACATTCTGGTAAGTAAAACATTCAAGAAAGTAGCAAAGCAGGTTTAGTGAAGGGCCCACTGCCAAAATGCTCACAGGGGGTTGGGCAGATCAGGATCTGGCCCACTGGCCAGATTTTTTACTTCATCCCTATCTCATTCTAATAATCCACCTATAACTTCTAATACACTTTATCCTTTACAGTACTACTTCTTCATGCATAGAACAAACATCTCTTTAAATATATGTTACTCCCACATGTACTTCATTTGTTGATCTTATCTGAATTTACCTGAATTCTCCCCCATTTCACTACAAAGATGGCTCTGGGAATTCCTGACCCATGGGAAAAACAGAGGCATGAACACAAACATTTTTCTCAAGTCCAGCTACTTTTTAAAAATCTGCACCAGCACTTTGCCTAATGGCAATGTAAACAAACAACAGAGTGAAGTTACTGCTATGGGTAAAAGTAGTGAGAGGGAACCCACACTTTTGCTCAACAAAATATATGCAGGAGAAGAACAGATCAAGACAACTAGTCACACAATGCTGTTCTATATCATTAAGAGGAGGCAGAAGAATGAATGTCCTGCTTTGATTAACTTTGTTAACTAAGTGTTGGGCTCAAGGGTTTGTTTAATTTTGCCTCTCTCTGGTGGAGAGGAGAACTGCCCATGTAATCTGTGCACCAACGCAAGAGAGTAAACAGAAAGCCACAACACTTCCTTGCTTGAGTGTCAGAACCAGTTCTTACATAACAGCCATTGCTCGCCCAAGAAAGGAATGTTAAGCATTTGATGAAGCAAAGCCTGTTGAGATTTGTAAATAAGACATGTGTGCCAAAGCCTCATGCAGGAAAAATACTAGAATAAGCAGGCAGTCAAGAATATGAACACAATGTACAAGAATATCTATCTACTTTGCTTTTGCTATGTTTTTTGTTTTTTTTTTTTATGTCATCTAAGCTGGATTAATGAGGGTATGCACAGGAAGGAGATGGCTGGCTGGTGAAAGACCCTGTGTGAGAGGCAAGAAGAAGAAGAGTTTGGGTTTGATATCCCACTTTATCACTACCCTAAGGAGTCTCAAAGCAGCTAACATTCTCCTTTCCCTTCCTCCCCCACAACAAACACTCTGTGAGGTGAGTGAGGCTGAGAGACTTCAGAGAAGTGTGACTGGCCCAAGGTCACCCAGCAGCTGCAGGTGGAGGAGCAGAGACGCGAACCCGGTTCCCCAGATTACGAGTCCACCGCTCTTAACCACTACACCAAACTGGCAAGGAAGGGATGATCTCCTAGGGTGGGGAGAAGAAAGAGACACTCCCAGGTGAGAGCTGGGAGGGTCCACCCACTTCTGTGTGAGGCAACGGTTAAGATCTACCTTTAAAAGAGGGATTTGTATTTTGTTTCCCACCTTCTCTTTTGCTTTCCTTTTTTTAAATAAAAAAATAGTTTGTTTTTTATTGTATTCTACAATGAAAAGTTTCAATGAAGCAGAAGAAGAAGAACAGCAGCACAATGTTAATGCTTTACTGCAGTTCTGGAAGAACATTCTTCATGTATCCAAACATGACTTTGCCTGCCAATCATATTTCACACACCGCCTTAGAAAAACAGCTTACACACCCTCACATTCCATTCACAACAGGAGGCTAAAGAACAGAATCCTGGCATGATGTGTTACTGCAGCCTTGACTGCAAGCTGATGAAAGGTGAAAGTGGAGTTACTAATCAACCAAATCCTGTGAAGCAAGTTACACTTGTACAAAAGGTGGCAGGGGGAGGATGGTGCACAATAACAAATCCCCATCTGACATCAGCCCAACCTCTAGACATCATCAGATCAGTGGGTATGTTCCCCAGACAAGATGCTCCACTGATCTTCACTGCTGTTGCTCCTCACTGCTGTAATTGCATCCTTTTCCCTCTGAGAGGCAGCCCATATTCAGCTCTGTCCAAATCTATTGCAGAGTCGATTTGGGGGCTTGCAGGGGACTGCAGGGGGAAGAGGGGACAGTAAAGTCCCACTGTCCAAGTAGAAGTCTATTCCATTTACACCACCAGATTTCATCCAATATAAAATACCTTTCTAATAAAACTGAAACCTCTTAGTCCTGAAAAAAAGGTTATGGCTCCCCAAATGATAATGTGAACGCGTTCCAACCATCAAATATCTCAATCTGCAAGTGTTGTTTTTGAGAATTTGCCATGAAGAAAACCATATGGCATCATTTGAAAAAATGTCCCATTGAAAGAGCCATCTTGATGGCCAAAGTCCATGCAACATTAAAGAGGTAGTTTACGTGGCTAACAGAGAAGAGGAAGACTTAACCCTTTTCTCCTGTACCACAGTCCCAAGGCTTCCCTCCAATGCCAAATAGCAGCTGGTGGTGGGAAAGGTGGGATTTTAATTGGGACCACAACGAAAGGGGTGGTGTAGGGAAGGGTTGTATCCAACAAAGTCTTAGTGCAAGTGGAATGCTTCTGCTTACACAGTGGATTTTTCACTGTGCTCCCCTCACACTCCTCCCCAGATTGGATTGGAGGAAAACCCAGAGCAGATTTGGGAGGGTGCAAGTTGGGGAGGGGGAGAGGGAAGGTAAATTCCATTGTGCAAACAGAAATCATTCACCTGACGCAATGACTTCACTGAATACAATCCTACATGTTTAACACCATGTGGTTTTTTGGCTCTTGAGGTACCTTTTACAAGACTACGCTTTTAAATTATTCTACCCAATGGCTGCTATTTAAATTTTTACAAGAGATATGAAATGCCAAACCACGTGTTTAACATCATGTGTACATTGGTAAGGATCATTTTGATGTCAAGTCATGGGTGTTTCTTTCTTTTCTCCTTAACCAGCCTCTTGTGGTCCATCATATTAAATGTTTTGAAAACTTGTGGTGATGCAATATGAGAAAAGAGATTTACACTATGTTTATACAACCGACAACAAGCATATATTGCTGATAGATTTTAAATACCACACCTTCTGCCCATGCAGAACTTAAAAAGGAGGGCTGAGTAGATGTACCCAGGAAACACAAAACTCCCTCTCCTTTACCTGTCCTATTGAAACACTTTGCTTCCTCTGAAATTCCTTAGGTATTTTGTCTATGGAGGAACCAATTGCCTTTATCTTCTTAAGGCAAATCTTAGAATCAGCTTTACGATGCACAGACACACACAGCTATGAGTAATTAGTCTCATTAAAGCTCTCTTTGTCTCCCGCAAAATTCCTCAGATGTTTTGCCTGAACCGGAATCTTCAAATTCACTTAAAATGTTTTTGCTTTAGGCAAAAATTGACTGGGGTGGCAACTCTATAAAGGATAGAGGCAGTTTTCTTTTGCCAGCAATGTCTTCCTCAATATGAATTTGGACCTCACTGACACTGCTCTAGTTTTGCCACAGAATGTTTTGTATGAAGAGGATAGTCAAAATGGCCAGTGTGGTAAAGTAACTACCAGGTGGACATACTAGGATTGGGGAGAAGTGGATTTTGATTCTGAGTTGGTCATGATGAATGGTGGGTGACACACATGGGTAGCTCAGTTGGTAGACCATGAGGCCCTTAATCTCAGAGTCATGGGTTTGAGCCCCACATTGGGCAAACAGATTCCAGCAATGCATGGGGTTGAACTAGGTGACCCTCGTGGTCCCTTCCAATTCTATGAGATACGAGTGTGGCACACTTTGACGTATGTTTACTCAGAAGTAAGTCCCACTGAGGTAAATGAGGCTCAGTCTCTAGAAATGTACATAGGATTACAGGCAGATAATCACTTCCTCTCAGTCAAATTTACCTCATAGAATTGCTGCAAGGGTAAAATGGGAAGAGGGGAGACACCATCTATGGCACCTTGAAGGATAAAAAGCAATGAATAAAAGAGAGAGAGTGTGTGATTGTTTTAGACCACCATTAATGGGAACATTTTGTTGCAGGAATCCTGCTGAAATGAATGGAAGCAGTTTGAGAGCACATTAGTATTTTAACTATAAATGCTTTTGCATTGTTCCAGTTAATTTCAAAGAGACTCATGCAACAGAACTTTCCGGTGAACTATGCACTCAGTGCTTATTTATAAAATATTTAGTTTTGTGTGGAGAATTATATGCGGTGCTGCTTTAAGAACATTAGCAACAACAGCTGGGTAAGTTAGCCCACCTTAAGCAGCCAATTTGGGAATACGGTATCATTAAAAAGGAAAACAAATTGCCTGTTATTGTAGTTTAACTATCGCACGAGACAGCATTCAGATTTTCTGCCAAAGTCACCAATATGACTTGAGCCATTTCTGTTGTCAATTTAAAACAAAGCCTTCAGATATTGATTTAAATATTAGGAGCGCTGCTGCATACTATAATCCAACAGTAAAAGGCACTGTGTAAAGTATTGCCATTCTTACTTCAAATTTACTTCTGTTTTCCCGTTATCTGGCATTCCCTCCAGGCTAGAGACCTTCAGATGAAAGGTTAACAGTGACATTTATGGCTACTCATTTTGTTTAGATGAATATGTAACTGCATAAAAACAGAACTGTCTAATTTCTCTATCTACTGAATAGGACAACTGTCCCCCACCATATTTCTTCTATAAGGGAAAAACACATGTTTTATCAATGCCATTCCTAGATGTGATGATAATGAGTTAGATAACCTTTAAGCAGATGTCTTGAAAGAAGTGCACAGAACATTATGCAAGTGGGTGAACTTACCAATACTGGATTAATACCATGCATATAATAGTTCCTTTCTCAGCACTGCTGAAGATTAGAAGACTGTTTTGTATGCAGCAACCTCTCTTGTAGTATGTAAAATGTGATTTTTAGTTCCATCTTCCATCATGAGAACAATGATTTGAAATTGAAAGCCACATGCAGTTCAGGTCTGGGCTTTTTCTGAAAATAAGCTTGTTTGTTTCTCTCCTTGGAAGTCAATTATAGAGCTTTTTAAAGATCTAGGTTAGAACTAGATCTAGCAAATTTATGTTGCAGTAAGTAAAACATGAGGAGAAAATTCTTGATTGTAAGAGGAATTGAACGATAGAACTAACTACGTAAAGGGGTGGTGGGCTTCCCCTTGCCAGAGGTCTTCAAACAAAGGCAGGGTAGCCAACTCAAGGGCCGTTAAAGAAATATTATACCACTTTAAGTAGTCATGGCTTCCCCAAAGAATTCTGGGAAGTGTAGTTAAGGGTGCTGAGATTTGTTAAAAGACTCCCTATTCTCCTCACAGAGCTACAATTTTCAGAGCAGATTAACAATCAAACCCTTTTCACAAGGAACTGAGGGAAATAATGTGCTGTAAATGTGCTTTAAAGGGTTATACACAGCTAGAGAATTCAAATTGAAAGGGGAAGAGCTCCCAAGCAGTTTTGGGTTAACTCAGGATCAAATATCAGACACTTGAAGGGCATTTATTGTAAGATGTTTAAAAGCGTCTCATAATGATAGCAATACAAGGCGAACAGCACCTTTTCTTTTTGTTTTAAGCAAAGGAGTTTGTGCCTGGGGCCTGCACAAACCTGCAGGCCCAATAAATAGGTCCGTTTCAGTTGTTTACAACAATAGTAATTACACTAAAGATGAGAGTGTCAAAACCGGTGAGCTGGCAAATAACAGCACGTCACACTGGGTCAAACTGTGTGTGGTAAGGGGAAAATGACACATACACTGTTAACAGCTAGACATATGAATTTCCCATACAGTGTTGATCTGATGTCTGTCAGCTCTGAGTGGGATAGGCCAGACATGGGGAGCGTGTCTTCAGGTGTTTCTGGACTGCAATTCCCACCATCCCTGCCTATTGGTCTTGGTTGCTGAGGATGATGGGAGTTGGAGTCTAACTATATCTAGAGGGCCACACATTCCCCATCCTTGAGACAGACAAATGACTACTGAGGGTTGCTACTGGATGTCCTTTATATTGAGCTGAAAATAAGAAAATGAATGAGCACTATCTGATAATAAGAGGTGAGGCTCAGGGTAAAGCTCTCAGCACTATAAAGTTAATCTGCAAAGCCAGAGCATCCATCACAGTGTGGTTCAAAGCTAGCCCAAGGCATACTGAGGTAGAAAATTCAAATGACTCTTCTGCACTTTTGCACATTGTAAAAATATATTTATACTGAATAACTTACAGTCTGCCACTCTTGAATGATTCCCCCTCCGCCCCCCAAAATATAACCTAATACTGCCTGAAGCAGCCCCCTCACTTTATGTAACGGCATCAACCTCAGTTTGGGAGTCCAGCATAAAAATAAAGGGCAGCAAGTTGTCAGTTATTTATACAGAGAGAGAGATTACTGTGTGTGATATCATAGTTGCCAATGAAATAAACAAACAGTGAGGCAGAGGCTTCAGCCTCAAGGAGAGCTTACTCTGAAAACTCCTATCTCCCTTTGAAAATTAGTCTCCTTTTGATCACCCAGACTAAGAAAAGGAAATGACAGTTATTCTTTCAAGTTAGATAAACCAGCTCTATGTGATTTTTATGAAGATGTCCCACTATTCTCCAAAGAGAAAAGCTTCTGTTAAGAAGATAAAGGAAGACACTCACTTTTGTGGAAACACAGTCATACCTGGCTTGCTAGAACGTCAACTGCTGTTTTGTTATTTCAGTTCTAATGAACGGCTTCATTACAGAACCACATTTTAATTGGTAAATATTTTCTTGTCGAGAATAGGGCCAGCACACCTTTGTTGTGCATGGTTACTGCTATAGTTGCAAGTCCAGGCAACTATTCTGGGTTAGGACTAGGTGGATGGGGTCATAAATATTCACCAGAGATTTTAATGGGATTAATGTTTTTTGTGATGGACAAAAAGCAGCTGGCCCAACCCTTGTGGTTCATTCCCCCTTCGAACCTCAGCTGCAAGAGAGTTAAATCATCCCAGACCTTTGTCCTCTCCTCTCCCACTCTCTGTGGGTGACTGGAGAGGTAATTCTTGCTTGCTGGTGCCTGACCTCCTGGTCAACAAGACCTGACAGGCTTGACAGGACGCCACCCACTGACGCCTCCAGGCAATGGAGGAAGTGTCCTCATCACCATGGCAAGGGAGATGCTCACCTCCCTGCCACCTTGTTCCCATCTAACCTTTTCTGTGGTTCTGTTGAGGCAACAACTAGGACACTATTGGGGCCGTTGGCCCAGCCCCTCTAGAGTGGCAGAGGACTCCATCCCAGGTAGCAGGCAGGGAGCATTGTTTAGGGGAAGAGATAATAGCTCAGTGGTAGAGCACATACCGGTACCTTGCACGCAAAATTTCCAAGAGTCAAGTCATTGGCACCTCCAGTTTAAAATATCAGGCCGCAGATGATGGGAAGACCTTTCTCTGCTGAGGCACTGGAGAGCTGCTGCCTATAAGTGGAGACCATACTGGGCTATATGGACAAAAGGTGTAAAGCTGCAATCCTATCCCCACTTTCCTAGGAGCAGGATTATAAAGCACCTCCATATGGTACTCTGGCTGAATCTTGACACAGCCAAGAAGTGGTTCAGTTAAACACGTTGTAAACTTCATACAAGGATGTTCCATTGGTGAAAAATGGAACTCCACAGCGTCATCTGGTTTCATGGTGTTATAACGTATATAAAGCACTTTATCTTTACATATGTAGCTGAGTCCTCTGACAGAGGAGCCCCAGTGTCTTTCAGTTTCTATTTGTCTACATATCTACAATGGTGAGGAGAAAGGAAAGGAAGAAGGAAGTGTTATAAATACTGCAAACCACCCTGAGCCAATGTGGTATATAATAAATTCAATCAAATGATTAAATTCCTTGTATTGATGTTATTCTTGTCAATTCGCATATGGACTTGCACACCAAAAGTAAATTGAAGGCACAGAATTTTACCAGATGCATGGAAGGAGGAGAGGATCTAGAGGAATTTGTATTGAGTCATGTTTGGCGGCAGGTTATAGCAGGATTAATGGCTATTCCAGCAGCAGCAGGAAGAATGGGATTTACAGGCCCTTTTCCTGTTGGTAATTCAATGGCAGCAATGGGCAGCCTAACATTAGATAAGGAGCCTCAGTTTTAACTTGGGACATTCTTTGATTTTTGAACACCTGATCTTGGCATCTCTCTCTTACATGGTAGAACACTTGGTGTTTTATCATGGTTGGGTTTTTTTGGCAGTGGACCTGCTTTTTCATTCACATTTATGGTTAAAAAACATCACCTGACTCCACCTCCAAATTACGTAAGGTGATGACATAACTTTATAGGGCTTGGTTCAGCTAAACATCCTGATGACATGGCTCATAATGTTAGCTGTGATACTTTATGCAGAGCTGTAAAGAAATCAGCTCATTCTGTAATATGTCAAAATGATGTTTTTGTTATAGTTGGAAGCTTATGAAACTTGGTCCCCACCATGCTCTTTTCAAAATCCCAGTTAACTTAACTTTCCATGCTTACAAAGTCTTGCAGATTTCAGAGAGGTCTGCTTCCAAGCAAGCATGCATAAGATCACAGTCTCAAGGTGCAATTCTTTGTACACATGAGAATGAATGTTGCTGGGCTCAGTGCTCTTTGGGGCAAGGGGAGCTTTTTTAATCAGGAATGCAGCATGGGGAGAAATTATTAAATCCCCTCCCCATGGTCCCAGTCTTGATTTCCCAGACACAGCTGCAATTTAAATGTGGAAATGCTAGTAGCGATCAAATAATTAACATCCAGTTGAGCCGTAAGAGTGGGGAAAGTGCAATACCCCATCACAGTAAGTGTGAACTCAAAGACACATAGCCAAATTCTGGATTTTGGTGTGGCAGACATGTTTTCATTTTTTTAATATCCCCTTTAGGTGTAGATGCTGAAACCAAACAATGCTACTTGGTAATCTTTGGCCAATTTGAAATATTTGGCTCAAACATTTCAGTAGCTGAGAAACCTTCAAATGCTCACTCAGGAAATGTAGCTGCTCTATTTAATTAATTAGTAAATGACTAGAATATCAAGTAGATCAATAATTTTATTGCAATTTGTGCATTTATCAATAGTTCCTGATGAGAACTCCAGCAATAAAATGGTTAAACTTTCCCATCCACCTCAATTATTCAGGTCCTACAACTCCCATGGGAAAAGACAACACTGAGCAAGCAGTGTATATCCTTAAAGTTCTTGCTCATCAATTTATATCACTACAATGAGCTCAAGACACAACATTTCCCCTTCATGGAGTCAATAATTAATGATCCCTCGACTCCAGAGTGCTATGGTTTTAACCCCAGATTACTCAGTCAAGAAAGACAGAAACTGCAGCTATTTACAAAGGTGGCATACCTTCCTCTGACAGACATACTTCCAGTGGATCACAAAACCACCTCGAAGCATGAGGTGAAACATTGCACAGAGGGGTCAAATCTATGCCATATTCATGATCAGTAGTTGTGCAAAATTACTGTACAGATGTCACAGAGGTGTAAATCTGAATTTGAAAATGTTGCCTATGCTTTGGAGGGATGCATATATTAATGTCATTTATTGGTTGTGTTGGAACATTCATTCATTTATTTAATGGATTTATGTACCACCTTTCTGCCATGGCACCCAAGGTGGTTTGCAATTTCAAAACACTAAAACAAATACATTATATAGAAGGCTGACAGTACTCTCATGCCAGCTGGGAGCGGGTGGTGAAGTGGTGTAAACCACTGAGCCTCTTGGGCTTGCCGATCAGAAGGTCAGCGGTTCAAATCCGCGTGACAGATTGAGCTCCCGTTGCTCTGTCCCAGCTTCTGCCAACCTAGAAGTTTGAAAGCACGCCAGTGCAAGTAGATAAATAGGTACTGTTGCAGCGGGAAAGTAACAGCATTCCCATGTGCTCCTGCTTTCATCATGGTGTCCTGTTGCACCAGAAGCTGTTTAGTCATGCTGGCCACATGACCCGGAAAGCTGTCTGCAGACAAACACCGGCTCCCTCAGCCTGAAAAGCAAGATGAGCACTATACCCAATAGTCACCTTTGACAGGACTTAACCATCCAAGGGTCCTTTATCTATACCCTTTTTTGCTCTCATGCCAGCTGTGCGCGCTTCTGTCTTCCCTGAGGGCATGCTGGTCTTAAGGAGCCTGAAGTAAGAGTAGGGCAGGGGCTGTCCCAACTGTTCTTTCAGGCCATTGATGCTTCTGTCAAGAGCTGATGGTCTGTGTACTGACATTGGTCAATAGGAAGTCCTATGAACAGCATTTCGCAGTTCCCTATGTGCTGTCTGACAAGCAATTTCCACAGAACATGTGAGCCTTGCAAATCACAGCACAGGAAGTTATTGTGATGTAAGGTCCAGCGCCAAGGAAGTTCTCTCTCTGCGAGAAGCAAAGTTACAGGGAACCAGGCAGAGGGCCTTCTCGGTAGTGGCACCCGCCCTGTGGAACACCCTCCCACCAGATGTCAAAGGAAAAAACAACTACCAGACTTTTAGAAGACATCTGAAGGCAGCCCTGTTTAGGGAAGCTTTTAATATCTGAAGGACTATTGTATTTTAATATTTTGTTGGAAGCCAAAATATTAAAATATTAAAGAGTGGCTGGGTTAACCCAGCCAGATGAGTGGGGTATAAATAAATTATAATTATTGTTATTGTTATTATCATCATCATCATCATCATTTAAGATAGTTAATAGCTCTAACATTACATCATTCCTAGGAAAGTGAGCTACTGAAAGCCATGACTGGCTTCTGATAAAGATACTGATCGTATTATTTATTCACATTGAGCATATGGGAGAGCATCTTCCACATTTCCACACGGTTGTATGAATGCTAACATAGTCTGCAGCTGAAGGATGGGACTTTAGATACACAACTGTCTACATCGTGAAGGTGGCAAGAAAAAGGTTTACTCAGGCACTTCTAATAACAAAAAGCATGCAATGAGGCATTAGCCAGGTTTATGGAATGCCATTCAGTCAGATAATTGAAACATTTAATACATTATGGCCATGGAATCAGATGGAATGTCAAGACCAGCCTACTTTATAATGCTGGGCCCTTAGTCTTTCTCTTTCCAGCCAGCTTAGGAAGGGAAGCCCATCTTGTATAAGATATGATGGAGAAGGTAAGAGTTCAATACATGTTTGCAACACACATCTCACATCTGATTGTAGCAGAATACCTTCCAACTGACGTAGTGAGCACCTGTTTCGACATCAGTGTTGAATATGTGCATGGTGGGAGGAGAGTTTGTGCTCAAAAACATGCTTAGAAGTGAAATATTAGCAAGAGTTGTGGATACTCCAGAAGTAATAGTGATCAATGGTTGTGTTATATTATGGACTCTCCATTGGCCTTCAGAGGGAGCAGTTGCGGGGGAGTGTGTAAAAGTATAGAATATGTAATCTGCAAGCTTGTGCACAATAGTGTCTGTTTTTAACCCTTTTTAATTTTGCAACTACAACAGAAAAGTAAGATGTAAAACCATTGCTAGCTGATTTAACAGTAAGGCTATTCTATCCATTCTATCTTAAATATATAGATTAACATAAGCAATTCATATGCCCAATTGGCATCTATACAACACTGATAATTATAAGCCATGAGTTCAAATGTGGAAAGGACAGTGAGATATTCAGATCAGTGAGAAGTCAGTGGTGGGCATTTGTCCTTCCAGCCTTGCAATATAGATCTTTTTGCCACTGCTTTTTTTGTCCATCTGTTAGCCCCACCCACCTGCACCACAGGAATGTAATTTAAGAGTGTGGTTCATATTAGGACTGCAGGTATCAAGTCTATGCCAGCGTCAATATACCCCAAACTTTCGGAACAGGTTCTATTACAATAGAATGAGTTGTGTAAACAAATATTGAGAACAAAAAGCAAATGGTTCAGAATAATACGTTCAGAATTTGTACAGTATGTCAAGGGAAAAAAGCACTGAATATATTCTTGTGCTAACTGGAAATTCAGACTAGCCAACTCAGGTCCAATGCAGTTCTGTGGCTCAAGAGTGAGACCTTAAAACCACACACGATGAAACAGACATTATTACATTAGAGCAAGTGATATATGGTACTACTGCGTGTCACCACAAACATATCCGGGTGATTTCAGATGAGTGATGTTTTTATTTGCTAGTATACTACCACTGGAAGTTTAATATGTCAGGGAAAGGAACTATGGAAGCGGCAGGCAATAGGAAACAATTCTGTGACATAGGTCAAACTGCAGAAAAATTAAAGATAAGTCTGTGAGTGGTCCATGCTGTAGCTGGCTGGGGCACCGTGACACACTGTTAAAGTATCCAAAAGGAGTTATGATTCAGAATTTGAAACAAAAGTCCAGACTTCAAAGTGTGGGAATGGGTGGACTAAATTTGTAAGGTGTTCTCAGTGAGGATACAACACTGGCTATGAAGTGCTATGGCCACATTCATGGATGGGGAACCTTTTTTTAGCCCAAAGTCTGAATTCTCTTCTGGGCAGCCTTCCTAGAACTATATGGCAGTAGTGGGCAGTGCAAGTGGAAAAAGTGAGAGAAACAAATGCAAATTTCATTTTTGTTCAGTATTTTATCTTTGTACAACCTCCCCATGTTTCTACAAACCACCAGCTCTATGCAGTGCCCATTTTTCCTTTCTGATACCTCTTCCAGCCTTTCTGTCAAATCTCTCCCACTCCTCCCATCCCCTTTCCCCTGACCACATCCTAGGTTTCTTGTGCATTCCTACGAATGCTGATCAGAATAACTCTTATAACAGTTTTTAACTTTCCTAAGTTCAGACTAGTATCAACACACTGTTTATTGAATATTTTAGTATATAAGCCAATTCCCTTTTGATATAACAACATTGACTTCTGACTTATCTCTGTGATCTGTGTTAACTGTTGGGAGTGTCAAATTCTGGTGTCCTAGTCTCAGTGCCAAAAGATCCCTAGAATTAAGCGTCGGGATTACATGGGGAAATTGCAGGGTGGCACGTAGACCGCACATTTAACAATACATCCCGCTCCAAAGCAGTATTAGAACTCTTCAAGTGTTAACTGCATTCTGCACAGCCTTACCATATCAACTGGTGTAAATGTTCTACAGTTAAAACTCTCTTGTACATTTCTGTGCCACGGCTAGGAAAATCATGGTTTGGATCCAAGCTAAGGATGACTTAGATTAGACCCATTTAAATTAATGGGCCTAAGTTACAGTGCAATTCTAACCATGACTACCTGAAAGCAAATAATAAACAGGAACAAAAACAGAAGCCCTATTAAATGGAGCTAAGATTCAAACCCATGTTGTCCATTCATTTCAATGGGTCTCTGCAGTATATAAACTAACATTGGCTAGAACTCCATGACAGCTGCTCTAATGAGCACACACTTGCAGCAGCATACCCTTTATCTGGAGAAGAGGGTGAAGATGAAATTGCTTATCTGCACTACTTTGATATTCACAAGTTGAAATGTGAATTCCCTTTATGTCCTAGTTGTTTACTATGAATTCTAACTACTGTTGTTGACTGAATTGGTTTATTTAATCTGAAGGATTTAAAAATAAATACCACCACTTGCATAAGCATTTTCAGCTTTGTTTACCAAAACATTGCAGCCAAATATTGCAAACTGCCGATTCTGGCACCTACATACTTATAAAACCATGCTTGGCACACCAAAATTCCAGGTTGGCCTCTTCAGCACCCAGACTAAACATGAATGGAGAGATACAGGTAAAAACAACATGCATGTTTTGCAAGCTTTCATTTCATTATCTGGAAAGACCCTAAGGAACTTGCAGTTGATGAAGTTCCCGAAACAAGCTAGAACAGGTTACTTGGAACTTCCAAAGCTTTTCACCGATGGGGAGGGATGGGACTGGAAAGGCTGTTTGTTCAGTTCTCCAAGTGAGCCAACAGGATGGCTGTGTTTGTTGCAAAGTATGTTCCTGCCTTGACCTACTTCCGACATAATTTATACTTGGCTCTGCAGTTGGAATTTTCTCATTAATCAGTGAATAGCATGGCATCTGCCCAATGGAAAAACCTTGCAATAATGTGCAGGTAAAAAATAAAAAAGATTGTAGTTCCATTGTCTCTTTCTTTCATGAGAATGACACTAATATCCCCCTCTATAATTTCAGCGTACAAAATAAAACATTCCCATGCACATGTATCAATACCAGCTGGACTAGAAAAATGTCTGTTTGGTGATATGCATAGCATTGCATGAAAACATCAGTTACCATATTTGCTTCTCCATTCATTCAAAAGGTCTCTAGTGCCTAAGCAGATGGAAGAGACAGTGGCTACTTACTACAGCTGTGTGCTTCAAGAATACATCGTCCATACCACTGCCACAAAATATTTCAAGAGCAAGTCTCACTAAACTGGATGAGACCAGCTTGGAGTAAAGCAGACTAGGACCAGACTGCATACAATTAATTAGTGTTGCCCCAGCTGTGCTGCCTAAGGTTATCTGTCACATTCTGCTTACGGAAGAGCCAGTATGTGGGAAAACTGGAAGCTACCACTTCAGAAAAAAGCAAGTTCATCTGATGGTTAGCATTTTTACACCAGGCTTTCACACTGGTTCATGTCACTTTAAAGCAGTTAATGGTGATTCAAAGGTAAGCACACACTTGGGTTGAAAACCAAGGGTGTGTTGCTTTTCTCGTGCCACAAGCCATGGTTTGGCTTAGCATTAAATCCAGGTTTGTGGTTTGTTTAAGGAAACCACATATTGTAACCAAGGTCTTTCATGGCAGAAATAAACCACAAACTTGAGTTCAGATGTTGCTGCTAAGCCAAACTATGGCCTGGCTCCCAACAGCATGACAGGAACAGCAGACGAGCAAAGTGGCTGCGAGTTTTGCCCTACTCACTAGCACGCTGCATGTTCACCTTTAAATCGTGGTTAAACTTTATGGCTCAAAGTGACAGGCCAATGCTTCCGGTGTATGAATATTTGATTTGAAAAAGGACTGCCACATAGTTAAAAGAAATATTGATTTAACTGTGTATTAACCAATGAAGCCTGCATATAGTTTTGAAGGTGGGAGGGAAGCATACTTTGTTCTTAAATGATGCGTGCGTCATAGCAGGCATCCTCTTGGTAGAGGCATTCCTTCTTGCATGAGAGGAAAGGGACAAAATGAGTGATTATGTCTCACAATCAAGCCTGAGAAATCTACAGCTTTCCAGATGTTACTGAACTACAACCTTCATCATCCCTGACTACTGGCCATGTTGGCTGGGACTGATAGTCTAACAACATCTGGTGGGTCACACTTTTTTTACCTTTGCTACCAACTAAACATGACAAATACACTTGAAATACAATCTTTTTTTCTTTTCTTACATTTATATGCCCCTTTTGTACCTATGCAAGTGCTAAATATTGTTGTTCGAAGGTTGTATTTAATTTTCTCGAAGTAATCATTGTCTTTATTTATTAGTGATGGATGCCATTTTCAAAGAATCGGAAGCATAGGGGAAATATGATAAATACCTCAATCAAATAGCCAAAAAGATTCAGGACAACCAGAGTACTTATTCTTGTGCCACTCATTAATTAATGGAATGGTAATGCCCTCTCTAACACAGATAATGTTGAAGAAGGGTTAAACAAATGCATGGAGGAAAGTTGTAAGTCAGCCTTCTAAGTAAGCCCACAAAAGCTACTGGCTTGCTAAAAGATTTGCAGCCTGCATTTCCATGCTGTCAACAGAGGAGGGAAAGCTTTCATTGGTATGGAAACATAGGCAGGCCTCTAAACAATGCTCTGTTCTGCCTCTACACCTAGCAAAGAACTGTAACTGACAGTTATAGGCAGGATGAAGCTTTCTGACCATTTCCTGCCACCCCTCAGAGGGCTAGTACAAAACATTTATTAACGTTTGTCAATTTACATACAATACTAATATATGATCAAGTATTAACATTTCAATTAATACTCTTAAAATGGGGCTCAGTTTGAGGTGGGTTTCCCCCCCCCCATTGTTTGTATGTACCATAAATGCAAAGAAAGAAGCACAAGAACAAAGAGAAACAAAATGAAATATGGTAAGGAAAGATGGTGCAGAAAGCGGCAATGGGCAAAGCAAAAAAACAACAAAAAAAAGGTACCAGCTCAGAGGTGCAGGGGAATAGAAGCCTGAGAAGAAAAATCTCCTGGTGACATCTCCTGACCACATTTAAGCAAATGCTCACGAAATGTCAATTCATGAGCTTTATCAATGAAATGTTATAAATCTAAAATTTGTTAAAGGAGTTGCAGCCAGAAAATTTGTAAAGGTGGGAGTTCTTCCCAATTAAAAAACCACTGCCAGCTCTCAATGCTTAAAGTTGGACAATTATCCTACAAATTAATTACTAATTCTAGCTTCTCCCCCTCCCTCTTCCATCTCTCATCTACCCCTTCTCATGGCACCATAATGACCGTAAGTAAAGCATGATCTTGCTTCCAAACCTTTTGGGAGGCAAGCTTAGTGGCAAGGGAGACATTCTTCACAGAGAGGAAAGGGCTTTCTTATCCTCTTGTGCAGCCCAGCCACCTATCCCAATTCTGAAAGGGCACACATTTTTACTCCACCCCACCCTGATTTGCAAATGTTACTCACTGACATAAATCCAAATGTAAATCCAAGCAAAACTATACATTTATTCCAGAATAGCTAAGAATATTCCTATTATACAAATACAGTATAAATTCAAGTCACACAATAAAAAAGTACAAACTCCATTACTGAATAAATATATCTAGCTATTTCATTTTAATTGGAAATTAAAGAGGGTAGCTTTTACCTTGAAAACCTTGAATGTTTGACCCAGCAAACCATACATACAAACTTAGTATAAATACATTTTTACATAATACCAGAGTAAACCCATTATTAATGATTAGAAAACGTCTAAAGAACAGAATGTGATAAAATAAACCTGCTGGTGCACTGTCAGAAGGCAGGCAGCAAGCATGTAAATTCATTAAAAGAACAAGACCACAAATCAAGGCCATTCTTATGGAGCAATTTAACCATGTCTTAACATTCTAAACCAGATAATACTAAAAAGAAAAAAAGATGGCACTAACCAGGCAATAAAATGAAAAGCCAGCTTACACTAGTCAACAACTGAACACAGAAGAGTCACAATTGCTCTCTGTATCATTCTTGAAAAAGCCATGTTCCAATTGTCTGAAGAAATCCTGCTCTGCAGTGTGGTCAATTCACTTTAAAACTTGCGACTTAAAAGTTAACTGCATGTTGTTGTTGTTGTTGCTGCTGTTGTTGTTTTAAGCAGCTGAATGTTCTTTGCTTTCATTTAATGAGGAAGAGTGGGAAGTCAGTGAACTAACACACATCCCCCCCTTTGTTAGAATGTGTGTAGGTTTCAAAATGCAGCATAAAACTACTGTTAAACCATAAGCCGTATTAGCACAGAAACCCTAACAAACCTCTTACTAACTTATTTTTGGCGATAAGTCAGAGGTAACAGGTTAAAAAATGTTGTGCAAAAAGGAAAAAAAAACCAACCCTTATAGAAAAGAAAGAGTGTACTGGAAATAGAACAAACATATACAAAAGAACAGAATGGTAAATAACCAGGATCTGAAGGTATATACACAAAGCACTCATTGCAAATCTCAGTCTAGGTTTGTTCCCCTTCACGTTCTTGCTGAGTTTAGGGCACGAATGCTGGATGGAAAACGATAAGGCACCAGGACAGCAGGCAACTGATGCTGTTCCCATCTCAGGAGCAGGCATTCTGCTCAATGTACATCTTCGACAGAGATACGGCCATGGATTTGGCCAGCTCCTCGTCCCTCCTGCGCTGCACCTGAGTCTGCCGGCACCATTCCTCATACTCCGGATTGGGGCACTGGCGATCGAGCACAGCGTCGTAATGCCCGTTGCTAAGCCAGCTCAGCCAGATGCTGCGCCGGCTGGGGTCCTCAGGCCCCAGGTAGTGGGCCATGGTGGAGACAGTGGGGCTCTCGGGCCGGCCGCCAGTGGTAAGGTGGATGTTGACATTCAGCATCTGTCCCATGGCCAGCAACTCCGGGTAGCCGGCCCAGGCGCCGTCCTGGGCGGCGTTGATGAGGAACTCGCCCACATCGCCCTCGATGATGGGGCTGAAGTGGTCCAGGTGGTCGGCGATGTAGTGCACCGTCTGCTCACGGAGTTCACCGTGCAGCCGCTGGTCCCCGTTGACGGCCTTGCAGACGGCGCGGTACAAGCAGTTGCCATCGGGGATGATGTGGAAGCGGAAGCGGTCCTTGTGCCGAAGGTACTTGTCCTGCTTCTCCACCTCGGCCAGGTAAAGCGCCAGCTTCTCGCAGCGCTCCGTCGGGCGCACCTGGTAGGGGCTCTCCTCCTCGGCGGCGGCCTCCAGCTCGGCCTCCCGCCGGCAACCGCCATGCTCCAAGGCGGCGGAGGGCGCCTGGCAGGCGGGACGGGCCTCAACGGCGACGCCCGGGTAGGCGCTGGCGGCAGCAGCAGCCGCCGCCGTCGCCGCCTGCATGGCCTGGCAATGCTCGCTGAAGCGGAGGCCGTGGTTGCTGGGCTCCTGCTGCAAGCCGGGCTGGGCGGCGGCGGCGGCAACGGCCGCGCTGCCATCGCCCCCGCCGCCGGTTTCCAGCAGCAGCCACTGGTGGGCGTGCGCCGCGGCCGCCGCCGGGCCCAGCTCGGCCGCCACGACGACGGGCTCCGGGCGCGGCACCAGCCGGATAGGCACGACCCTTTCCAACGGCCTGCGGCGGATCATCTGCGCGCCAGGGCTGTAGCACTGCGGCGCCGGCTGGTGCTGCGCCGGCTTCCTCTGCCCGGGCCCCGCCGGGGGCAGCAGCTCCAGGCAGGAGAAGGCGGGCATGGCGGCGGCTGCTCCCGCTCCGACGACGGCGCTCGAAGTCACTCCTCCTCCGCCTCCTCCAACCGAGTCGCTCTCGACTCCCACCGGACCTTGTCCCGAGGGCTCCGGCGAAGGCGAGACTTTGAAGACGACGCCCGTCGGCCCGCTCGCTGCGCTGCTCGCCGCTGCTGTGGCTGCGGCCGCCGGGTAGTGAGCGACGATGGTGCTGTAGAGCTGCATCCTCGGCCCTTTATAGGCGGCGGCGGCGGCCGTAACAGCAGCCCGCGGAAGGCCGCAGGGGCCGGGCCAGGGAGCGACCACGGGGCCCGCCGCCGCCGCCGCCGCCCCTCCTCCTCCTCGCAGGAAGCCAGAAAGGATGAGGCGCCAGAGTAAAAATAAACACGGGCATCACCCTCCTGTCGTCACCGGCCTGCAACTGCCGCCCCTCTGCCCTTGCACCTCACAGAGGCCGCGACGGAGCCCTAAGGCAGCCGCCCCCACTCCCTTCCCCCTCAGGCCGCGCCGGAGCGGGAATTCCTTCTGCGCCACAGCTCCGGGCGGGTTCCCTCCTCCTCTCTCTCTCCTAGGCCCAGAGCCTCCTGGAAGGTACTGGAGGCCTTGTCGCTCACTCGCGCGGGCGGGGGGGGGGAGGAGGCCGGGCCTTGTTTACTTCCCTCCCTTCAGCACGTTGGAAGACACACGTCGTCAAGGCGAGGAAGGGGGCGTGGCTTGGCGCTGAGCTCTATGGCTCCGCCGCTGCGTCGCCGAGGGACGGCAATTTGAAAAATGAAAATAAAGCCTTTTGCGCATGCGTGTCTGTCTTACCCTCTGCTCGGGTCAGTCCGTCTGTCAGCTACGTTACCCCGTGGACGTAGTTTGGTGCGTATCTAGCTGTACTCAAACGTTAGGAGTCTTATCGAGTAATAAAGATCTTTATTAGGAATTGGTGGTACCCGTTGGTGCAAGCGTGGCTTATATTTGAAATACATAAGCATTTCACGTTTCATATTTTTTAAATACAGTAAGTGAATTAAATAGCATTGCCGCCTATTTAAGACAGTGGCTCTTAATTAACATCAGTCAATGCATATTCAGTGCACATGGCTCATCCACACACAACTACAGTGCCCACCACCCTTAACAAAATACAACCCCCAGGATTCTTTGGTGGGAGCAATGTGCATGAAACATCCTTTAAATGTATGGTTTTGGATCGTCCCTCAGTTTTATCGTGGGGTGGGTGCTCCTTATCCATGCATTTTTTCACAGCATCTGCATGACGTTGGCATCAAAATGCCAGCCTGTATTCCCTGCCGGATTTATCATGTCTGTTAAAAATAAGTTAAGCTAAAAAAGAAAACACCTGCTCTAATTACTTGTTTGCAATATTTGAACAACCCATTAATAATATTAAGCATCTGTTTGGAAGCACCGTGAAATTCCTTAACAGCTCCACTGACTGAAATGTAATACAGCAGTGAGCAAGCTTTTGAGTTTGGGCATGATATCAAAGCCCCCAAGTCTTCAGATTGGTAGTAGTCATAGGTAAAATGAATCACTACACAAACTTGCTTCTAAGCCAGCAGTCACCTGTCTTTTTGGACCAGTGGGTATATCTCTAATTTTGAGAGGGTCCTTTGGGTGCCAGTCACAAAATGGCGGCCATGGGGGGGGCATAACATAACACATAATGAGACAGTACAGTCATGGTGAAACTTTCCCCATAGTTGTATTTCCATACTACAGAAGACTTTACATGCTGAATTTCTGCCTGCTGTTAAAGGCACAGTAACCTTCTTTTCCCACAATGCCAACCCTAACCTTTAGCTCATGGATAGGCAAACTAATGCCCGGGGGCTGGATCTGGCCCAATCACCTTCTCAATCCAGCATGCGGACGGTCCGGGAATCAGCATGTTTTTACATGAGTAGAATGTGTGCTTTTATTTAAAATGCATCTCTGGGTTATTTGTGGGGCATAGGAATTCATTCATTTTTTTCCTTCAAAATATAGTCTGGCCCCCTACAAGGTCTGAGTGACAGTGGACCGGCCCCCAGCTGAATAAGTTTGCTGACCCCTGCTGTAGCTCTTACACAACAGGAAGCATGCCCAAATCTCAAGCCTCTGGCTTTTGCATGGAGGAGAGATTATGTAACAGCCAGCCATACTTACTGTGGGAGAGAGAACAGGGCAAAGAGAAAGGGGGTGCCTTTCTCCAGTTCAGGTTTTAGCTCCACCCATTGCTGCTCTGACATTTCCCACCCCTACTCTTGAGGTCCCCAGCCTCAGATGAATGTCCCTCCCAGCCCTGCCATTAAAAGAAATCCATGGGGAAAAGGGCACTCACGATATCTTAAACCATATATGAATTAATAGCCAATGATTCTTAGGGTTACATGTAGCACCCAGTATTATAGTACTTATCAACACAATAAGCCTACAAAGGGTGCCTTGACAGACTGGTCACCAAGCTAGAGTGTAGCTCTGTCCTTGAAGAACCATTCCTTCAGTGACGACGACAACAGTGGAATGATATTGATATGAATATTTAAGTTTCCATTCTAGTGATTCATAGTTAGCTTAACTGCCTCTGTGGTGTTCATGAATCAAGTTACAGCTTTTAACACACCAATATATTAATAGACATTTACCTAAATCACTTGTGATCAGAAACAGGTGGCATGCAGAGTGCAACCCGATTCTGTTCTGACATAAACTAGTTGACCAATTATTTTTTGTTCGCAGAAAGAGTTGGCGCAAACATTTTAATCCTTTTAACTGCTGAATTAGAACCAGATATTGACATAAAGTCATCTTCCTTGAAAGACAAGTCATGCATTAGTGAGGGAGAGACATAAGGATTAAATATTATATATATTTAATTATATATAATCACATTATATAATAAAATTATATATATTCAAAATTAAGGTTTTAAAATTATATTCATTTTACTGTTTACAATGGTTTTCCCATGTCATCTCACAAATCTTCTGTTGTCCTAGAATGCAGCTGAATCAGAACAACACATAATAGATCAGAATTCTGAAATGCAGAATTTCTCTTCCATTTCTACAGAGCAAACCTATGCATATTTATTCAGTATTGAGACCCACTGCATTCAATGAGAGTCCCACTGCATGTACGCATGTACCGGATTGCACCCTAAATCCCTGACTTATGCAGCAAGATCCCCAGTCTTTATACACCCACTGAACAGCCAAATGTCCAGCCAAAGTAACTGGATTTGGAATTATGGGTGTGGGAGGTAATTCTACAATTATTAACAACCCTGAAGTTGCTTTTGTTAAAAAAAGTTCAGCCTCCTATCACTAAAATGATCTTAAGACTGGATGTTCAAGTTGTTGCTGTACTGGGACAAAGGCAAAGAGAAAGGAGATCAGGCTCTAGTGGTAGATGGCTTTGTGATTTGCAGATGATGAGCAAGGTTTTCTTACTCCCAGTAATTTTCCAACAGCAAGTAAAACTGAATGAAGAAGAAAAAAATCTCTGCTGTTGCTCACCGTGTGCTAATAGCTTATCTCTTAGCAGGAGCAGCCAACACCCTTCAGATGTTTCTGGACTATAAATCCCATTATCTCCGGCCATTGGCCATGCTCCCTCTGGTTGATGGGAGTTGTAGTGCCACATTGGTTACAGCTGTGGCCATACTTGTAAAATAAGACTATTAATTCGAACAGATCTTAGTGCAACTCTTCTGACCACATTGTGACTTTTGCTTTAGATCACGAGTAACTCAAGATTCACATTTGTATTTGTACAGTTTAAGGGGCACAGTAGGTAATTGATGCCACTCCCCTCCTTACCTACTGTTCCGCATTCCTTAGATTTCTGAACCTGGTGGTCCTAACGAAAGGAAACAGCAGATTTTGCAAGTCTGGAGGCTGCCCACCTCTAACCCAGGAGAAACCAAAGATGCTAAGCATTTGTTGCCATCTTAAACCCTTCACTTTGGCAAGGAGATGTCAACTGAAAGTGCACAGCGACAGGCAGTGCTGACTATCCTGACCCTGGTTTCACTCTTCCAGGTTACCACCTTCTCAAGCACTTCAGTCTTTCAGTGCCCAGTTGCCTGAGAGAGGGGGGAGAGGGAGGTACTGGGAAATGGGGAGGGGCTGCTGCTCAATGGCAGAGCATCTGCTTTGCATGCAGGTTCAGTCTCTGGGAGAGACCCCTGTCTGAAATCTTGGAGAACTGCTGCCAGTCATTGAAGACCATGTTGAACTAGCTGTACCTATGACCTGACTCGGTATAAGGTAAGCGCCTGTGTTTAAAGCAGGGGAATGAAGGGTATCTCAGAGCACTAATTCAGCCACGTTCCTATCTATGTCACTTGCTATGTCCAGTGGCCCTCCATTTCCATCACACATCAGATGTAACAGGACAGAAATAGAAACACAGGGGCATGAGAATCAAATATAAATTATTATCTCACAGGTCTACTGTGAGGCTGAATGGCAAGGCTGTAATTCACTCCACTTAAAGGTGTTATATAACTGGCTAACAGCAAATATTTCATAAGTTAAATTCTACCTTTGAGTAGAAGTTAAATTACTTAACATAATTCTCGATTTCAAAAGGAATAATTTAGTCACCTGCGCTGCAGTTGAGGGTATTCTAGTTCTAATACATCAGGAGGAATTTCAGCTGTGGATGAGCTTTGGAGCCAAGTTCTTTGGTTACATTTCTTTGAGCAAAGGCAAGAGGGTGAATCAAAGGAAGAGTGTGGAATTTGTAATGCTTTAAAAATTTCCACTCTTTAAAGCTTCTGTATAATCTTTTAAAACTGGAAAACATTAACACATTTGTCACATTTAAGGAATTCAAAGTAGTACTTGATGTGACTTCATTGAAAGCATACGGTGACATTATGTTCCCCCTTGAATATCTATCTGAATGATTCAGTGTAAAAGTGATCCTCGACATTCCACTGTCTCTTAGCAACTGTCCTGACTGAGCTGACAGACTTGGCATCTCTAGGAAAGCAATACTTTCAGAATGAACATCAATGACATCACAGTACCTCACTCGAACTGAAGGCAACATTGGCTTTTTTTTTTAAAGCGGCATACGCATGCTACTTTTTTTACATGTTAAAAATAGGAAATGCACAACAGTAATTATTTTGGGTTTTTCACACCTTGTGTAACTAAAAGAAAAAAGGAGTATGCATTGCTTCCCCAGAGGACAGCGCACACACCTAAACTCACAGACTTACTTTTAGTACTTCCCAAGCATGAAAACAGGAATCATAATAATAGAATCAGAGACTTGTAGAGCTGAAAGGTACTTTGAGGGTCATCTAGTCCAACCCTCTACAATGCAAGAATCTTTCGCCCAGCATGGAGCTTAAACCCACAACCCTGAGATTAAGTGTCTCACGCTCTACCAACTGAGCTATCTATGGTTAGGAGTTTCAATTTACCTGTGCAACCTGTTTGGGGGCTCCTTAGAATATTCCAGCACTCTCTGCATTTCTGCTCCAATCTCTAACTGCTAGACAGCAGACTAGATTATCCAATGAACAGGTTCCTTGGTAAAGGATGGAATACGAGAGTCTGTTAGGGTGGCCAGGGGCAGAAGAGGACAGAGGTCTTACACCTTTCCACAGCTGTGCAGAAGAGGGGATTTAAGCATGTGTATCTTGGGCTGGGGCATAGCTGTCAACGTTTCCCTTTTTTTTAAGGGAAATTCCCTTATTCCGAATAGGATTCCTCACACAAAAAGGGAAAAGTTGACAGCTATGGACTGGGGTTCAAAGTGCTGAACAATGCTGACCTGGATTCAGACCCTGTTGACTTCCCTTACACTCAAACGGGGTGTGAGGAAGGCCAAAAAAAGCGAGTGACCTTAAAATGGAATCTCCTGTTTTTGTACAAATGCAGTACGGTGGTACCTCAGGTTACAGACGCTTCAGGTTTCAGACGCTTCAGGTTACAGACTCCGCTAACCCAGAAATAGTACCTCGGGTTAAGAACTTTGCTTAGGATGAGAACAGAAATCACACAGCAGCGGCAGGCCCCATTAGCTAAAGTGGGGCTTCGGGTTAAGAACAGTTTCAGGTTAAGAACTGACCTCCTGAACAAATTAAGTTCTTAACCCGAGGTACCACTGTACAATCATTGCTGGTTGCATTGCCAGGTCTCCATAGATCCTGTGCTCACTTGCTGTCTCTTGTATGGATGCGAAAGGGAAATTTGGGGGCCTGCATACTGTATGTTGACTGTCAAGGGTCTTCAAAGCCACCATCTGAACAGGCCAACTAGGTATCTAAATGAATCTGCTGGATCAAAGAATTGCCTCAGAACAGACCAAAATACAAACACTCTATACAGAAGTTGCTGCTTTTACACAGTAGCCAAAGCACGTCAGAAATGTGAAGCTGGACATTTTAAAGAAATTGTGTATGGTTCCGCAATTCGTTGAATTTATGGCTTTGCAGTCCATAAGACCTATAGCCTTAAACATATAAAATCTCTGACCAACTCAGCGCTCGCTGCAACGTAGCGTTCATGAAGGGACGCAGTGACTGCCAGCAATGCCGTTGAAATGTCACCGCCTGTCAGCTCGCCAGACATTCTTTGTGACACTGCAACTATGCTATGCATATACTTAGAATCAGCATTCCTACAAATGATGTAAGTTTTACATACTCAGCGGTAATATGCATGTCTCAGTATCATGAACTGGTCTTTTACGAGAAGATGCGCTTTTTATTTCTAAAGCACAAGTAAGTTAGACTGGGCTTCCAGTAACATTTAAGAGTAACGGGGCAAGGATGGAAATGGGGTGAATTAAATAAATAAAACCACTTCTATCCTGCATTTCCTCAATAAACCCAATATGGCTCACAGCACAAGGTTTTTTTTTAAAAAAAGAGCAACTTAACAATTTTTAAAAACAATTTGGTATCAGAAATAAATAACTGGCTTCCGATCTCCCTGCCATGAGACGCGGGTGGCGCTGTGGGTTAAACCACAGAGCCTAGGCCTTGCCAATCAGAAGGTTGCAGTTCGAATCGCCGCGACAGGGTGAGCTCCCGTTGCTCAGTCCCAGCTCCTGCCAACCTAGCAGTTCAAAAGCACGTCAAAGTGCAAGTAGATAAATAGGTACCGCTCCGGCGGAAAGGTAACACGGCGTTTCTGTGTGCTGCTCTGGTTCGCCAGAAGTGGCTTAGTCATGCTGGCCACATGACCCAGAAGCTGTATGCCGGCTCCCTCGGCCAATAAAGCGAGATGAGCGCCGCAACCCCAGAGTCAGTCATGACTGGACCTAATGGTCAGGGGTCCCTTTACCTTTATCTCCCTGCCAGGGAGAAGGTTCAACTCCAAATACCAGGTGCCCGGGGACTGCAGGAGAAAGGGAAAAGGACACTCTGGTCCTGTCCATCAGCCAAAAAGACCCTGAGCAAACATTTGTTATTGAAGCAAGAACAGCAGCCAAGGAAGATCAGCTGGATAAATAAGACCCACTTACAGCATATGGCTTCATTTTGGTCTCCTTTCTCTTCCTTTGTGTGTCTTTTCAAGTTTGCAGCTAGACTGACAACAGGGCCTGCCTCTCTTGCTTGATGTCAGCCACTTTTCGGAGTTAATGGTTGTCTGAAAAATGGGATAAAACAGGATAAAAATAAATAAATTCAATAAAGCAGCCATAAAAGATGAAAACAACAGAGCGACAAAAGATAAAAAAGGCAGTAACCATTAGAGGGCTTGTCCACAGGCTCTGCTCACCCAGCACCCATCCTGATTCCCTTGCACAAAGCCTAGGTGGGGGTCCAGTTTATATGGAACATTCACTCTTGAGCTGTTTACAGGGAGGCTGTGTGACAATGAGCACTCATCCTGCATTGATCCTGCTTTGCTAGTAGGGTGTGTATTACACATCTTCCCATTAATCGCTCGATTGTCCCATACAGTTCAATGCATTTTCACATCCCTTTCCAAACCACAAAATAAAACCATTTGGAAAAAGTGGATGTGTTGCGCTAGAGCAAAGTATCACTTTAATTGTGCAAAGCTAAAATTCCAGTATGCACTTGAATGCATCCTGCAAAACACAGTGTAGAGGTAGCTTAACGACAGCAATTCAAAATGCTTCCCCCAAAAAGGGAGCAATCGTTCTACATCTTGCCATACACCTATGTATCTTCTAAGAACATGCATGGAAATATCCATGCTGTAGTCGCTAGAAGGGCCACAGAAAATACTGGATTTTGTGAAAAGCCATTTCTCTGATGTATGTCACCTGCCTCTCCACCCCACCCCTGCCATTTATGCAAAAAGTCTACTTCTCTGCTGCAGTCAGGGAAAGAAAGCATATTATGTGCGTAGGCGCAATCTCATAGTTCTGCTAATAAAGAAAAATGTCTCCCACACTTCAAAGTTTCTGGTGGTTTAGTAATCATTGATTGCTGGGCACATTCCAAGGAGCATTTGGATTATACAGGAGGAAAACCACAACAGAGCAAACAACTCTGGCAAAACACTGGTATCCAATGACGTCAGCCGCAATGCTGCGCTAACAGCTACTTTACTAAATATAAGACGGGCAAAGACTACAAGTGGAACATTTGCAAATAGTGAAGGAGGGAGCTAGACTTTCCTTCACTCTGCCTCTCCCTTGATGAATCCTGACTTACGCCAACCTTATTCCTTTAGCAGTTGTTCTTTTTGTTTATCCAGCCTATCTAATTTATATTGTAAATAAACAGCTTGGACAGAGATGTGTCATCTGTGTTCTGTAACTACCTTGCAGGGTGTTGCGAGCAATTGAATGTCGAGCAGCAGTTATCATACCAGCAAGAAATGTTACGTATTGTTTTGTGATATATGCATAGCTGTCAACTTACAGATTTGAAAATAAGGGACCAGCAGCCTTGAAAATAAGGGACCAGCAGCCAAAATAAGGGACCTGCAGCCTCACCTGTTCCAGGCACTCCAGTCTTCCTGTCCTCCTGCAGTCTGGTCAAACTCATGCTGGCAGCTTCGAGAACACTGTCCAACCAACTTTGTAACCAGAGGTTCAACTGAATAGAATCTGAATCACATGCACCACAAGGCCTATGCAGCCTCAACTTAAGATGGCTCCCCGGCCTGGTTTTGCACTGCAAAGCACGTGCAACAAAATGGCATCCAGCATTCAAAACCCCCCTCAGCTTGCATTAACTAGCCACACACAAGGCATGCAAGCTCCACCCCCCAGTCGTTCTTAGACTTCTTATTGGATGAGCAACACAGCCAAGCAACACAGTTGGAGCCTCCCTCCTCCCTGGCCGGCAGGGAGGGAGGGAGAGGAGCTGCTTCCTTTGAAATTTAAGGGACATCATTTAAGGGACATTTAAGGGACATCTATCAATAAGGGACAGCAGCGGGACATGGCGCTGGAATAAGGGACTGTCCCTTCAAATAAGGGACACTTGACAGCTATGGATATATGGTACACACTTCCACAAAGGGCAGCAAGCTCCTGGAGCCATTGTATATTGCAACCATTTTCTTGTGTTTTACAAATAAAGTATGAGCCCTAATGAAAGGAAAGGAAAGAGTGAGACTTGCATTACAAGAGGCATCTGCAACAAATGTTGCATTGTGGATGTGGTGTTCTCTTGCCCAGGAATTCAGCAATGCCCCTTGCATGGATACTCCATTCTATTCCCTCTCCATCTAATCTTCTATTTTCCTGCCCTCTGCCTGCCAGCTAGCATGAGCGTTATTAGCCCTCACTGGGTTCTCCCCTGCCCCAAACATCACGTAGGTTTCATTTTCTCTAAAGGTTTTTATGTGCTCCTGCAAAAGCCAGGGATTTCCAGCAGGCTCTTCTTCAGTGCATCTGGCTTTCAATCAGAAGGTTGGTGGTTTGAGCCCAGCCAGGGATGGCTGTGGACAGGATTCCCTCAGGATCCCCTGCAACTCTACAATTCTATGATTTAATGCTGATGCCTGTTTTTGGATATGGATGGTGCTGTTCTGGCTACAAAAGAACTGGCATCCGAAGAACTGGGCTTCCTATTAGTATATATGATGATGATTATATCCAGGGCAGTTTAACCATATTTTTTTGTCTCCTAGGTAACAACAGGCAAAAATATGATTAACCATTATCAAATTTTAATTATTACATAATTAATGGAAACCATTATTATTTATTTATTTCCTTGTTGCAAAATTGTACACACAAAATTGTATGGACTTAAATCATAAAACATGACGTGCCTAACAAAAAATGGGTCACTAGGGGAATAAAGTACTCAACGTATTATTTTACAGTACATAATAATGAGATAATTACTGTAAACTGGTAAAATGAGTCATTCAGAAAATCAGCCTGGAAAACAGGAGGGTAATAGGAGTGAGCTAATGAATGGTGCCTGCTTATCTATGCCATACTGCAATACATGCTGCAAGTATTTCTCATCTCTGTGTTGTTTCATTTGTATATTTAATAAAATCACACCATACAGCATAAAAATTATATTTGTTTTTCTCTCCCCTTGCCACCTTCAGTTTTTGCAACAGCTTTTCCATTATGGCTGTTTGCCAGATTATATTACACCACTGATCAATATTCATCAAGTGGAAAACGATTCTAAATTATATTTCATTATGTAACCTTACAACAATGCTCCAGCACATCATCCACGTTGCCACTTAAATATTCCAAAATCAATCACATATCCTTCTGAATTTTAATTTGAATACAATGAGGCTGTCATGTC